GGGGGAGGCGCCGCGCTCCGGCGAAGGGGATGAGGTGACGAGAGCCATGGCGAACGACGGAGGCAGGAAGCAGTTCTGGAAGCGGAGCGGCTCGAAGGTGCCGGGGAGGTGAGTGTGTGAAGGAGACTGGCCTGTCGGGAGGGTGGCAGTGGGGCGTCTGGCTCCGTCCGGGCTATGTGGGGTTCGTGGCGGGTTGGGGGTGCTGGAAGGCGGCGGGGTCACTTGTCAGCGTGGGGTGTATGTTGGGGCAGGATGGTCCCTTCACCCGGTGCTGAGGGCGGCTCTGCACCGCGCCCCCGTGGCCTCGGGAGGAGGGTCTGGCGTCCGGCGCTGTCGCACACAGGGGTGGAGAACAGCTAACGTTTGACAGCAGTTGTAGCAACAGCCGTGAAACTGACTAGCCTCTGGAAGTTGCACTGTGCTTCTGTGAGGGACAGCTGTAGAGCATGAGCGCTGTCCTCTGCTGCTTGGCTTGAATGATGTACAGTAAACCAAAAATACTTGACTTCTATGCTCCCTATGACTTGAAGGATGTGGGTGAGCCAGGTAATATATTTTATTGGATTAATTTATGTTGGTGAGAGAGACAAGCTTTGGAGCTTACACAGAGCTTTTCTTTTGCTCTGGGAAACTTGCTCAGAATGTCACAGTTAAATAGGAGGTGGAACAGATTGTTTAGCATAAGTAGATAACACATATTCTAAGGTATGCAGTGTTGCAGCCATGCCCACCCTTTTCTTTGACACTCTGAATAAGGGCATGTCTACACTTACCTCCGGAGCGATTGATCCAGCGGGGGTTGATTTATCACGTCTAGTGAAGACGTGATAAATAGAGCACTCTCGAAGCGTAGCCGGAGTCGATGGGGAACGTCAGCAGTCGCCCTACCATAGTGAAGACACTGTGGTAAGTAGATCTAAGTATGTCGACTTCAGCTACGTTATTCACATAGCTGAAGTTGCGTAACTTAGATCAATTTCCCACCCGCAGTGTAGACTAGGCCTAAGTTTCCCAAACCTGAAAAAGAGCTGTTTGTAAGCTAGAAAGTGTGTCTCTCTCATCAACAGAAGTTAGTACAATAAAAAATATTATTTCCCCCACCTTGTCTTTCTGAATAGATTCTTGTCAATTTCAGTTTGGGTGGTAGCCATAGCAAAGAGTTCTTTGCTCCTTGCTGTCAAGTGTGCCAGGATGTCTTTCAATTTTTCTCTGTCGCTTTTCTTGTTGTTGAACTAACAATTTTTATGTGCCAAATCATTCAGTTACTTGAGCAGCTCATCTCAGTAGGTTTCAGTTAGAAATGTTTGTGTGTGTGTCAATCAAGTAGTGAACAGAGGAGAACTAGTTGACATTCATTACACTGTGTGCAGTAATTCATAGATTGTAGAAACAGCGGAGACTACTGTGATCATCTAGTCTGATCTCCTGCATATATTCGCCCATAGGATTTACTTGAATTAATTCCTCTTTTAACTAGAGCATAACTTTTAGAAAAACGTCAAATAAAATGTCTTACAGAAGTCTAAGGCAGGGGTTCTCAAACTAGGGGTCGGGACCCCTCAGGGGGTCGTGAGGTTATTACATGGGGGATTGCGAGCTGACAGCCTCCACCCCAAACTCCTCTTCACCTCCAGCATTTATAATGGTGTTAAATATATAAAAAACTGTTTTTAATTTATAAGGGGGCATCACATCAGAGGCTTGCTATGTGAAAGGGGTCACCAGTACAAAAGTTTGAGAACCACTGGTCTAAGGGCTGGTCTACACTAGAAAGTTGGGTCGAGCCAGCTACATTGCTGAGGGTGTGTGGAAAAATTCATGTCTCTGAGAGATGTAGTTAAGATGACCTATGTCCCATGTAGACCGCATTAGGTAGAAAAAGAATTCTGTTGACCAAGCTACTTCTTCTCGGCAAGGTTGATTTACTATAGTAATGGAAGTTTTAGTGTCTATGCAGCTGTACCACTGTAGTGTAGACGCAGCCTCTGTATATTATGTCAACACTAGTACCTTCATCAACCAAAATTGTAATCTAATCAAAAAAGATATGAGATTAGTTTGACAAGATCTATTTTCCATAAAACCCTGTTGATTGGCATTAATTATATTTCCTCTCTGTTAGTTCAGGGTGGCTTGATTTTTAAATCAAAGCAATTTAAACACCAATTTTTAATCATGGTTTAAATCAGCAAGCAAAAAACCTTGATTTAAATCATCAACTTTAATTGTGTTTTACATTTGTACTTTTTAGTTATTTTCTTAAATAAAGGCTGACACTCATTGGATGATAACCATTAAAACATGTTAAATATAGCCTTTACTAAATTGGTGCTGCTTTTTGCTAACCAGGAGGATACACTATATCTATACACATCTATTTAAGCAACAGTATAGCTTAACTTACATTTATTCAGATTCTTAATTTTTACATTTTCTATTATGTTTGAAAATAGTGATGCATTTTTTTACTAGATTAATTTTTACTAATGGTTTGTGTATTTGGATAAATATTCAATTATAGAATCATAGAATATTAGGGTTGGAAGAGACCTCAGGAGGTCATCTAGTCCAATCCCCTGCTCAAAGCAGGACCAACACCAACTAAATCATCCCAGCCAAGGCTTTGTCAAGCCGGGCCTTAAAAACCTCTAAGGATAGAGATTCCACCACCTCCCTAGGTAACTCATTCCAGTGCTTCACCACCCTCCTAGAGAAATAGTGTTTCCTAATATCCAACCTAGACCTCCCCCACTGCAACTTGAGACCATTGCTTCTTGTTCTGTCATCTGCCACCACTGAGAACAGCCTAGCTCCATCCTCTATGGAACCCCCCTTCAGGTAGTTGAAGACTGCTATCAAATCTCCCCTCACTCTTCTATTCTGCAGACTAAATAAGCCCAGTTCCCTCAGCCTCTCTTCGTAAGTCATGTGCCCCAGCCCCTTTATCATTTCCATTGCCTTCCGTTGGACTGTCTCCAATTTGTCCACATCCCTTCTGTAGCGGGGGAACCAAAACTGGATGTAATAATACTCCAGGTGTGGCCTCACCAGCGTCGAATAGAGGGGAATAATCACTTCCCTCTATCTGCTGGCAATGCTCCTACCAATATGCTGTTGGCCTTCTTGGCAACGAGGGCACACTGCTGACTCCTATCCAGCTTCTCGTCCACTGTAATCCCCAGGTCCTTTTCTGCAGAACTGCTGCTTAGCCAGTCGGTCCCCAGCCTGTAGCGGTGCATGGGATTCTTCCTTCCTAAGTGCAGAACTCTGCACTTGTTGAATCTCATCAGATTTCTTTTGGCCTGATCCTCCAATTTGTCTAGGTCACTCTGGATCCTATCTCTACCCTCCAGCGTATCTACCTCTCCCCTCATCTTACTGTCATCTGCAAACTTGCTGAGGGAGCAATTAATCCCATCACCCAGATCATTAATAAAGATGTTGAACAAAACCAGCCCTTGGGGCACTCCGGGGTCAGTGCTGCACAAAACCAGCTTTTAAAAAACACCTACCTTAAGTGTGTTGGATAAACTTTTTTTTTTAAATGTATCAAAACATGTTTTGCAATTAAAACCAACTGGCTTACTAAACAAGGAAGTGTTATCTGTACTTAGTGAACTGAATTGATAGTTTCTGGTTACCATGTACTTCAAGATTTGAGATGTCATTCTCTCACACCTAGAGATGGGAAGAGGATAACAAGCTTTCCTGCTTTTTCAGCTCCCAGTTGGTTTCTTAACTTTGAACTGCACTAGTCATTGTACTGAACTAGTTGAATAAACTGAAATGAAAATATTTTCTCTGCACTTGCAGACGAGACTACTGCTGTCAAAATCTGGTTTAGTACTTCAACAAATTCTGGTTCCAGGTGCTTAGCCAGTTACTTTTACGAATTCAGTGCTTTGATTTTCTTTAAAACTTGGTTGCAAACATGTAGTGTTTAATATTATTTTTGTATTTAATTTCAATGTTTTTAACAGATTACAGTAAGTTTAGGCCTTAACAGGTTGTCCAATTTCAAATTTAATTTTAAATTAGTTTATTAAAAAAACGGTATTTAATGTAAATTAAAAAAACATTGATTTTTTTTAACAATTGATTTTTATCCACCTTGTTTTGCCTGGGATTGATATCAGGCCGACAGTCCTATAATTACCAGTTCATTCTTAACTTTTAAAATATTGGCACAATCTTATCCTTCTTTCAGTACTTTGGAACTTCTCCAGTGTTCCAAAACTTATTAAAAATAAACATTAGTGGTCTTCAGTCAGTTATTTTAAAACTCTGGATTGAGTTGTACACCGTTCTATTTGGCAGTGGTGCAAGCGCTACTGGAATACAGTGTCCAGTTCTGGTGTCCATAATTCAAGAAGTGTGTTGACATATTGGAGAAAGTTCAGAGAAGAGCCACGAGAAGGATTTAAGGATTATAAAGCATGTCTTATAGTGATAGCTATATCACTAGATTGAGATAGCTCAATCTATTTAACAAAAAGGGATGACTTGATTACGCTTTGTAAGTAGCTATATGGGGAACAAAAATTAATAAAGGGCTGTTCAGTCTAACAGGTATAACAAGATCCAGTGGCTGAAAGGTGACGTTAGACAAATTGAGACTATAAATAAGGCACAACATATTTAACAGAGTGTAGTTACCATTGGAACAACTTACCAAGGGGATGTAGTAGATTTTCCATCACTGGAAATCTTTAAAATGCAGATTGGATTTTTTCCAAGAGGCTCTAATTCAAACAGGAATTAATTCAGAGAAATTCTACGGCCTGTCAGTAGGCTTGGCAAGCGGGTCAATTGACTGCTTATTATTTGATTGTGGTGAAATATTGTCAAATGTTCCTGCAAGAATGCCCTTATGTAGGTGGTAACCTAACTTTCTGATTGCATCATGGTGCCATTTTCCTTTTTTATATAACTTCATTTAATTTTATTCTGCATTTTTCTGAGTTAAAATAACTCCATTAAGATACATTATTTATTTTTGTAATTAGGCATAGGTATCTATAGAAAGCTAAACCTATTGGAGACCATAAAGTTTTACTCTTTTGTTTTGTTGTTTTTCTAGTAAACTAGTGCTTTCAAATATTGGACCA